CTCTTGTGAAAATATACGTAAACATCTAAGAAATATGGGAAAACTCCATAAAGACGGTGTATGGGTGCCTCACGAACTCTTCGATAATCACTGTTTCCAACATGTGAACGTTGCTTCGTCTCTTCTGGTGTGTAATGCGCATGAACCATTTTTGGACAGAATTGTCACCAGTGATGAAAAATGGATTCTCTATGCGAATATTAAATGCTTAAAACAATGGCTCAGTGCTAGACAAAAATCACTTCCGACCCCAAAACCTGGACTCCACCAACAGAAAGTGATGCTTTGTATTTGGTAGAACATCAAAGGAGTAATTCATATCGAACTCCTCAATCCACAGGGAACTGTCAATGCAGAGATCTATAATCACCAACTGGAATGCTTAAATCAGGCCCTTCATCAGAAACGCCCTTCACTGATCAATTGGAAAGGTGTTCTTCTTCTCCATGACAATGTACGTCCACATGTGGCACATTTGACGCAACACAAAATTATGGAGTTGAATTAGGAAGTTTCCTCCACTCACCATATTCTCCAGATATGGCATCATCAGATTACCATCTTTTCATTCACTGTAACACTGTCTTAATGGGAAAACGTATGTAAATGTGGAAGGTGTTAAAGAGGACATCAATATGTTTTTTGCTTGAAAGCATCATCAACAGGAATGGAGACTATTTCATTTAATAAATGTTTTGTTTTGATATATAAGTTGTTTGGGTTTTTGTTTCTAAAAAAATGTGACATTAATCTCTTGATGACCTAATAAGTTTTTAGCCCAATGTCTGGATCCCAAAATCTCTGAAGAATCCTTTGGAAGGCCCAAATTTCACAATGAATCATTAAATTCACCTTATGTGGAAATTTGTGGTTCATCAGATGTTTCAGGTTGAAAACAATTCCTATCATCATTTCTATTGACATCAGATTCAGAATCAGATGATATTGTATCAAGAGTTTCCAGTGGAGTAGATACAGGTACATCAGGTCCATGAATAACAGGCCTTATAGCAGATTGAAGGTGTGGATAAGAAATTTCCTTTTTATTTTGAGTGTTGTAGCCTTGCACATTACATGAGCAAAAATAGCAGTCATCTCTGTGGTTTTTAGGCTTACACCAGACCATTGGAATTCCAAAAAGAAAATACTTTTCTTACCTTTATTCAATTGGCTCAACTCTTTGACACAAATGGTGCAAACTTTGTGTGGAGCCCATGATTTGTCTTGGTCTCCAAGTTTTATTTCCAAATAAACGTACTATGCTTTTTTGATGAATTATGTAATGCTTTGCCTTTGTTTCTTTACAAGAAATTTACCACAAATATAACAGAATATGTTTGAGTCATTTACTCAACCTTTTGTTGCCATAGCAACAAATAAATAATATTGAAAAGAAAGAAATAATGTCAAAATGCGTGTACAAACAAATACTATCAAGAAATGACACATCATGCAGCCTTCGGTGTGTTTCTTGTGGGTTCTAGAATGATTGATAAGGCTCTCATGTTGTGATTGGTCTAGAGAAATCCCTAGCCAATTGTTGTCAACATTTTAAGCATAACAAAATGTGACCCAATTTCAATGAAAATTATTCACTTATGTAAATATACATATGATGTTTTATGAAACATCTGTACGTGAAGGATAAAAATAGATATTGTTTTTGATTTCAGGATACAGGAATTACTGTAGAACAGGTAAAAATTTCAAGACAATAAAACCATTGCAGGCCTGTGTTATCTTTGATATCCCCAAGCTCAACAGAATGTAAATCACATATTACAAATAAAGCCACTCCTCCCCTCTCTTTAGTACTCTTTTCCTATTAAATAACCTATTTCAAAAAGAAATTTCTGTCATCAAAATTGT